AACCAGTCCACAAACAGAACAGTGTACGTCACGAAAGATAAGCCTGTAATAGTTTATTGTAACGTTAGCGATGAAATCACGGACGCTGAAATACGTATTAAATACGAGTCAAGGACAGAGCTAGTACGAGCAACAAATACGACACTGTTAACTTTTAAACGGAAGACCGCAAACTGTGAAGAATCGGGGAATTACTCTTGTCATGTCTCCAGAAATGGACAAGTTGTCGCTGAGATAAATGTGTACCTGTTGGTGGTTAAATGTAAGTACTCGCTGTTTCATACATGTTTGGAGAGCACTTACGTTTAAGCCAACATTCTTTACTTTCATTTTTACCGCTCTATATTTTTAATTTTTCTATGAGATCTTTGTCAATTGGGTACCATACTCCAAAGTATGGATGAGCATAATTAAACATTGGCTCTTTAAGTCCCCAAAGACATAGGGGAAGCAATTTGAGAAGAGCCAGAAGCTGCCTATTTCAGTTACAACGCCTGCTTCCACCCCTCACCATGCTCATTCATCATGCACACACACTCTCCACTGAGTCTGAGAGCAATATAAAAGTGTAGTACCTATTCAAATTTGTATGGGGATAATCTGACTAAACTATCTCTCGTTATTCCATCGTAACTAAAATATGGGATTTACATTATCTCTCCTAAAAATATGTGGTCAGAAATAGTAACTCACTTAACTCCGCGTGTTCTTTAACAACATGACGTTTTGATTTAGATATTAATTTACTTGAAAATAATTTGTTCCTATTTGTTAAGGTGACACTATCATTTGCAAGTCACGGGAATCGCCGAAAAATTTAAATGCACGAATTGGAGGGAATCTGACCATTCCTATCTGTGTAATAGCACACTCAGATGCCTTCAATGGATTAAAGTTACATCTGAATGGAGAAGAGATCAGTCAAGATAAAGCCAACAGAATCAGCTACACCGTGGAGAAGTTCCCCCAGTCCGAGATCCATTACATTGTGCGAGTTTTCATTGCCAGGATTCTGCCGGACCAAAAAGAAATCTTATCAATTGTAGCGACTTCATCGAATTATAATATCACTCCATATACTTTACAACTCAATTTAACCCGTGAGTAATTTACTCTTTAATTTGGTAGATCTTTTGCTTCGTCATATTTCCTTGTTTGTGTTATAGACACATGGGGCAGAAGATGTAGAGTTTATCTGGTTCTTAGAACTGGGCATAGTGTGGTCAGCACAATGCTCAGCCGTTTTTTTGTTTTTCCTAACGTGAGTTAGATATCCATCAGAGCTGGGTGGAATCAAGGACGTTCAACTGTCTTGAACCCGGAATCGAACTCAAGACTTTTGGTTAAGCTGTCTAGCTCGTTACCGCTAGACCACGACACCTATCAAACATTAAATAGTCATCACGAATCTATTATCGGGCTAGAGGACTAGGCCTATGATTGAACGGCCTCATAGTCTTACCAGGTGCCTGGTTACAACAACAATTCTTTTTTAATTTTACGGGGGCGAGGGGAGTGGGGGGGGGGGGGCTGCACAGCGATATCACACACTCCCTTACCAAACCACGTCCACCGTCATACCTTGTCCAGTTGAAATATAAAACATGTTATATTTATATAGAAAAAAAAACAAATACTATAACCATTGTACGAAAAGACCCGGAAGTTTTCAGCGCCCCCCTCCCCCCCCCCCTAAGCCTGGACGACAAACTAGGCGTGATATACATACGTTTCTAGCTCAACGCTCGCGTGCACTGTGAACTTCTCGAGAGCGAGAAAAACATCAATTCTGCGATTATTTCTTTTTTTTTTACTGTATTACGCCCTTTAAAATAAATCATCGTTTTATAAACCAAAGCTGCATACATTAGATTGTTATAAGAGACACGTTATCAGATACGACAGGCTTTAAGCGACGAAGACCTCCAACACAGCCGAGGTCTAAAGCTTTAAGTAGTGCTTGAGTTAGTAGGTTCTTTGCAAAAGATGTATCCAGATTATTTAATGGCGCTCATCTTGAATTAACGATTTGAAAATACATGAAATCATATTAATAGCAACAATAGGAGAGAATATTTTTTGTAAAGAACCTGCCTTGACCCAAATATTACAACATGCATCGTATCCTGACAAGGAACTAGCAAATTAAAATAAGAGAATACAAAATATCATGGCCTATATCTTGCGACTATACAAAACGCCATAGACTAGATCTTGCGATTATACAATATATCATAACCTAGAACAATGGCGTAGCTAGGGGAGGGCGGATGGGGCGGCTGCCCGGGCGCCGACCCTAAGGGGCGCCAAAAGGAGTAGAGAAATTAATTTAAAAGCTGAAGCATTGCAATATATACATTGAAACTTACGAAAATAAACGACTACAAGACTTTACACTGATTCAACTGTTTTCTGTATCAACCATAAAAAATGTTAAGGTATAATAACTGGTAAGAAGCACCACAAACCTTTCCAACAGATGGGAGAGTACGCTTTTTTCAGACAGGAGTATAAATATAGAAAGAGGAGGGAGGGGGCGCAAAAATGATAGTCCGCCCCGGGCGCCGGAATAGATCGCTACGCCTCAGACCTAGAACATGCGACTAAAGGAACGGAGTACGATATTTCATAATTATGCTTTTAGAATTAAAATGGCTACCGGTTACTACTTCTTTATTTGAAATTGACTTTGGTTTTCAACTAAAGATGACAATGGGTCATGATTTAGATTTTAGATTAAATAAACGTCGGCAGGTCATGACTTTGTTCTTCTGACTAAAAAGTGACGAAGGTCATGATTTAGAGCAAGGTTATTACACGTTGGACATACATTCAAAGCATTGTCGAGCAGATGTTCAAGTGAGCACTTGAGATAACGGCGCCTCCTTATATGAGTGCATGTAATACCAGTGTCCACTTGTACTTGTTCTACCAGTGTCCTACACGGCTTGTCCTACCAGTGTCCTACACGGCTTGTCCTACCAGTGTCCTACAAGGCTTGTCCTACCAGTGTCCTACAAGGCTTGTACTACCAGTGTCCTACAAGGCTTGTACTACCAGTGTCCTACAAGGCTTGTACTACCTGTGTCCTACAAGGCTTGTACTACCAGTGTCCTACAAGGCTTGTACTACCAGTGTCCTACAAGGCTTGTACTACCAGTGTCCTACAAGGCTTGTACTACCAGTGTCCTACAAGGCTTGTACTACCAGTGTCCTACAAGGCTTGTACTACCAGTGTCCTACAAGGCTTGTACTACCAGTGTCCTACAAGGCTTGTACTACCAGTGTCCTACAAGGCTTGTACTACCAGTGTCCTACAAGGCTTGTACTACCAGTGTCCTACAAGGCTTGTACTACCAGTGTCCTACAAGGCTTGTACTACCAGTGTCCTACAAGGCTTGTACTAACAGTGTCCTACAAGGCTTGTACTACCAGTGTCCTACACGGCTTGTCTTACCAGTGAAAAAAGGCCTTCGTGCCTACTATCGTTACCGTAGTTGAATAAATAAATAAATAAGTGTCCTGCAACGATTGTCATGATTGTCCCAATCTACTTGTTCTAGAAGTGTCTACATGAGCTTTTCCAACCAGAGTCCTACAATGCTTATCATACCAGTGTCCTAATGTGCTTGTTTTATAAGTGTTCACGTGTGCTTGTCCTAACGGTGCTGCTATTATCTTGTCCTAAGATTTTGTTAAACGACAGCTTTTGATTTTCAAGCAATTTCACTTATAGTACTGTCATATTATATCGGGGTTTATGTGAGCGGGAGGAGGGGGGGGGGTTAACTAATATAGTAAAAGGTTAGTGATGAGTGCAAAACACTGCACACACACACACACATAGATGTATATATATATATATATATATATATATATATATATATATATATATATATATATATATATATATACATATATATATATATATATATATATATATACATATATATATATATATATATATATATATATATATATATATATATATATATATATATATATATGATGCTTATAAACCTACATGAATTATATACCTAATCATTGTCTTCAGAAGACGGATCACTTCCTGATACTGATCCATTTCCCCTGCACATTTTACTTGTTGGGATATTCGCCCCAGTGGTTCTCATCGCTTTGACAACAGCCTTCATCTGCTACAGACGTCGTGGTTTAAAAGGTAGGCATACAATAAGCGAACAGCGATATTTCTATATAAGAATACATCACGACTTTTAAACCAAAGTTGTCATGTATTGAAATCAAGTTACGTTTAGCCATATGTAAATGCAATACACATTTGAGCATGAGCTCATTTAATTTATTTTTTTTTCATATTGTTTTCAACATACAGCAAGACAAGGGGAATTAAAAGATCGGTAAGTTTTGTTATTTGCTATTAAGTTTTAAGTTCGATTTTGCAAATTTGCTTTTTTCTTAAAATTCACAAATTAATCAGACCAGCTTTATTTTCAATGATAAAAATCACTACAAGTGAGTTTAATATAGATTATATAGGGTTATATTTTAGGTGGTGTTAGGTTAATTTAGTCATATTTAAAAAAAAAAACAACAAAGAGCATTATGTCAATTCATAAATATGAACTTTGAAACTATTATTGCGCAAAAACACGTTTTAGTTGACTTGATCCGTAATTTATTCTGTGAAATTCTCTGACATTTTTTAACCTACTAGTAACTAGTGCAATCAATTATAATAATTAAAAACTTAATAAAAGTCACGAAATACGGACCATTCCTATTCTCCGTAAACAAAAACAAAACAAAAATAAAACCACAATCTATTCTAATAATAAATCACAATCATGAGATATATTGTATATACAATGCCGCATTTCATTCGACACAATGGCTTATTTTGTTCTGATTGTTATGTTATACATAGATATCTGTATTTCTAGTTACGAAATTAATACTGTCAAACACAATGAATTTTCTTTGTGTTAATTAGGTTTTATCATTGTAACATTTCAGTGGGCGCCTAGGATTGCAAAACAACAACCGTAGAGGACATGATCGTATGTACAGATACATCTGTATATATTTATTAATTGCAAAAAAACAGATTCTAATCTCTCACTTTACTGTAGGCATACAATATATCGGTTAATTAAATTCCTGTCATTAGTATTGACGTGTATACATTTAAATAGTTGGATTTAGATTTCATTCGGGTATGATTACCACCCCCTTTTTTTCCAAGGTATATATATATATATATATATATATATATATATATATATATATATATATATATATATATATATATATATATTTATATATATAAAATTCATCAGATTTTCTTTAAGATATAACGATTGATTGATTATATAAAGAGGTGTTCATATGTTTATTGACCTTGTGATGAAATGATGTTGTAGTCTGCACTAATTCTAACTTGAGGCAGGTACCCATTAGGGCTGGGTGCACTCAATGGGATCCGAACTCGAGACTCATGACCGTCTCACAAATAATACCCTCTATTTTATCTTTGGAACGATGGCTCATTTATCCGTTTACATTCTACGCCAATCGCTAAGTTTCTTTGAATGTGTTATGTTAACAGTGTAATGTTTGTACACTTTTCAACACTTTTATTAAAAAACATGCTGAGGTTCAATAATTACTGGCACGTGATCGGAAGTGATTTGTGAGTGGAGCTTCAGCTTACACATCGAACGACAACATTCACAATGAAAGATGGGACCATTTTTGTCATTCTTCATTGTCTTACATTCTGTTAACAGAAGTTTTTTATAAGAATAAAAAAATTAATTCAAATCTCGTTATTAATTATTAGAGGTTGGTCTATATCCGACTTAGACCAAGTCAATGAAACACGCGAAATACACTCATAGGGGCGGGGGAGGTTAACAGGTGATTCTTAATACTCCCCTATTAGAAATTTGCTTGTAAAAGTTTATTTTGTTAAAGCTTTAATTTTTTTTCTTTTCCCCTCAACTATAAGACGTAGATCACGACGGATACATCTCAATAGATGACGTCATAAACCAGGTGATGACCCCCACCAACACAGATGCCGTCTCGGCTAATGACGTCGACCCCGTCAACACCCTCGAACCTTCCGGAACTGTCGAAGTTACCCGTACCCGTACCGTACCCGCCCTACCCCCAAGACCATCGACTCAACAGGTCGTTAATTTTGAGTCTATTTTACATGATCTATCCATGTTCGATATTGATGAAAATATAACGGAAAACGGCAATGAGGGGAGAGATGATAATCGTGATAAAGAAAATGAATTGACGGGCTACGGGGGAAACAGAATAAATTTACATCGCAATGAAAGCGTTGGAGTTAGAAATACTACAACAGCTAGTGTTGACGGGATGGGTTGCGTTGAAATTAACGCCACAAAACCAAAAGTCAATAAAACAGAGAGAGGAGAATATATTGAAGACACTTACCTCGTTCCAATAACTTCTGCATACGCTGTTAAAATTTCTTCATCCCAGGGACATTTTCAAGAGGGAGAATTTAGACACAGAGTTTTTGCAAATTTAGAACACAATTCTGATGGCCATAATACAGAAGAGGTATTAAGTGCTGATGATGAGAAAAATAATTATTTTCTTCCGGTTCTGTTTAATAAGTTTTAAAACTTTCACCATTACGTTATATTACTTTACTTTGCTTCAAGTAACAACTTCGGATTCTGTCCTACGCTTACACTATTTTCACTCATGATGTTTCAAATAAGAACTTTTGCTTAATAAAGAACTACTGCAGCTCTATTCAACGTAGTTTTATAGTTTTTAATTACCGTCTAAAAATATAACTGTAATAAACTTTGAAAATTGCATGAATGGTTTTTAAAATAACTAACTGGTAAGCATCTTGGGCTGAGATAAGTATGTCCAATATCCGAAATGCTAAGTGTGGTTGATAATCCATATTCATTTCATGTCATATTCTAATTATCCTATTTCTAATTGCATATTTGTATGTGTTTTATGTATGTGTTAACACAAGGATTCAAACTTCCAATTTCCTTAACTATTCGATATAAAACACTTGGTGAAGTAAAATTGTTGAGTAATAATGGCGCGATATATATGCAACCCAATGTTTTGCAATGATAACATAAGGGATTTAGAAACCTACAATCGTGATACCTGTTCTAAAAATAAGAAAACCCAGGAACAAAGTCGATAGCTATCGCCCAATAAGTTTAACAAGCTGCGTTTGTAAACTGATGGAAAGAGTAGTAAACAACAGACTGACCTGGTTTCTAGAATCGAACAATCTACTAGCAGACGAACAGGCAGGCTTCAAGAAGTGCAGATCTACTGAAGACCAAATCACCTTCATTTCTCAGGAAATGGAAGATGGCTTTCAAGAAAAAAAACCAACCTCAATAGTGTGGGTCGACTTTGAAAAAGCCTTTGACAAGGTTTGGGAGCAAGGCCTAATTCTAAAGCTAATAAACCATCAAGTATCTCATAACATGCTAAACTGGATAAAAGGTTACCTAAGCAACCGAAAAGCATCAGTCTCCATGCAAGGAAAAAGAAGTCACACTGTAACTATAAAAAATGGAGTCCCTCAAGGAGGAGTCTTGTCTCCTACTCTCTTCCTCATTTATATAAATGACTTAAATGAAAACATCCCAAGGAGAGTAAAACGAAGCATGTTTGCAGACGACCTTTCACTAATCAGCACAGAGGAATATATTGGTACCTCAAAATTTCGTCTTCAAGAAACACTTGACAAGCTCGGCAAATGAACCAAAAACTGGGGCTTATCCATCAATACCAAGAAAACAACTTATTCAATCTTCACCTTATCAATTAAACATAAAAAAATGAAACTTACCCTAGAAAACCAAGAGTTAGAAAAAAATGACCACCCCAAATACCTAGGAGGCACTTTTGACACTCGACTTACCTGGAGAAAACAAATAGAAAGCACACAAAGTAATGGGATCAAAAGACTTAAACTAATGAGGAAACTGTCAGGAACAGACTGGGGAGCAAATCACCTCATCCTGAAAAAAACCTACACCAGCTATGTGAGACCTACGTTAGAATATGGTGCTTCGGCTTGGGGCTCAGCAGCAAAAACAAATATTAGCAAAATTGACAAAGTTCAGAACATTGGTTTGAGAATAATGACAGGAGCCATGAAAACAACACCCATAAAAGCTATGGAGGAAATAGCCGCTCTTAGCTCAATAGAAGAAATATACACAAAGCTAGAGGCACTGGAAAACCATAACCTAAAACAAAAACTCCAGAAACCCAGTCCATCAACCAGACTACAAAGAACAAGTTTCATCAAAGAAGCAAAGAATCTGAAAAAGAAATATGAAATCGAAAATATCATTCCTGAAGCAATAAAAACTCAAAACCTCTCCCCGCCTTGGATCTCCCACTGTCACTTAACCATTATTGACTCAATAGACACCATAGGAAAAAAATCTGACTATGATCTAGAAGAACTTAAGAAAATAACAAATAAACACATTAAGGATCAGTACCCCAGCAATACCTGGATTAGAGTTTTCACAGATGGCTCAGCTGAAGATGCCACAAAAAATGGCGGGGCTGGCATCCTTATTGAATGGCCAAGCGGAGAAAGCCTGGAAAAGGCAATAGCCACAGGCAGCCTATCCGACAATTGTAGGGCAGAAAAAGAAGCTTTAGAACACGCAGCAAACCTCCTGTCAGAACACCCTGAATCACCGAATAGTCAGATTGTATTTCTTACAGATGCCAAATCAGTCCTGCAATCCCTACAAAATCCAGAGTCCTATATTCAAACACTTATGACAGCACTAGAGAGGCTAAAAAATACCTGCAGCAGAATTGTGCTGCAGTGGATCCCGGGCCATTGCCAGATCCAGGGTAACGAGATCGCAGACCAGCTGGCAAAAATTGGGGGAAAGAAACCACAACCGGAAATTTCGCTACACCCAAAAGAAATAAAAAGAATAATAAAAAACAAACAAACGCAAATGTGGTCTGTCACACACCCTCACTACATTAAAGACGACGGCTATTATAATTTAACACGAAAACAACAATACATAATCTTTCGACTTAGAACAGGCCACAACAGACTAAATCAACACATGCACAGAAAACTGAAGGTTGAGTGTAGCGAAATGTGCCCTTGTGGCAAGGCCCCGGAAAACACGGAGCACGTACTCCAAGAATGTACTCTGTATAGCCAGGCAAGAGTCAGACACTGGCCCCAGCCCACCCCACTCAGGGAAAAATTATATGGGGCACCTGACAAACTGGAGACCACAGTCCGGTTTGTCCACGAAGTTGGACTTGTTGTCTGAATCCTCCACCATATTCAAAATTAAGAACGAAGAAGAAGAAGAAGAAGAAACCTACATAGTTCTAGATTTATGTATAGAATCCTTACTAATATATTTTCTTAAAGTAAACTTTTCCCCCACCTTCAATGCACTTGCAATATTTATGTTATTGATTCTTCAAATATTACATTCCTGAATTTTGTTACGGTTTACTTTTAAAAAAAAATGTTTTTTTATTCGGCTACTATAAGTGCAAGTTTGACAAAAATACATTTTTAAATCCATGTCAGCAATATTGATTGCAGGCTTCTCGTCGCTCAGTCGTGTCCTTTGTAATACTGATGGAAATTTCCTCAAACACTGCTAATTATTACTTTTTAACATGTTCTGGTTATTCTCAATACTTGAAACGGCAACAAACAACATTATGTTTTTCTGTAATTCTTTTAATGTTCTGTCTGCTTATAAAATAAAGAGGGAGTGATCTCCCCTAAACTATCTCAAATATATTATAACGAGCCGACCCGCTGCGTATCATACGCCGCTATTTAGTTGTTTTTTTTTCTACTTTTCAGTAATTTATAATTTGTGAATTCAACAGTACCAATGCTGCCATTGAAAATATTTGCTTAAAAACACTACCCCCCCCCCCACGTGAAAGCAGCCTCCTCTTAGTTACCTCCTCTAAGTTTAAAATCGTTTCAAACTCAATTATCTGCCCCTAATAGCCGTCACCAAACCCGTCTCTATGATGGTAAAATGTAAACAGAGTGAACACCGCTCACCAGATCATGTGGGGGTGGGGTGGGGGTGGTAGTGGTAGTGATAGTGATAGAGAGGAAGAGAGGGGACTGCAAAGGCGCGCTTGCAGCTTGTTTTCTAACTGATCCCAGAAGAGAATTATATATATAGATGTTAATGGCAGCTCAAGTGAAGTCGGGATATAGAGATTTAAAAAAAAAATCAATTTTCACATTAATAAATTCTTAAAATAGAATAAAATCTCCGAGGGAAAAAAAGTTGCACACCAAATGAACAGCAAATAATCATGTGTATGAGGCACATGAGTTCTTTATAAAATAATACAGAGTAATTTAAGTTGAAATTAGAATCATATAGGTATTTTTTTTTGAGAAATCAAAAATTGGGTAATTTACTAGTTTCGGTCAACGAAAATTACTCAAAATGTGTTAGGAAACAGAAAATTTGACCTTCTGCATATATATGAAATTTCTTCTATCTAACTGAAACAGTACTTATGTTTTCGGCTTTTGAAAACCCAATTGTAGAATAAGTTCCACTTCCAGTTACTGGAAATTGCTGAGAAGTTAATTTAGAACTACAAATTTGATATAATACTTAAATAATACTTACATATACAATTTCGCCATCCTGGCTGTAATGTACTTAAAGTATCGTGTTCACAAACAGACACACAGAAACACATTATATATACAGACATATATACAGACATTATATATACAGACACACAGATATACAGACAAGATTGCAAAATTAAGTTGTTCTCACTCGAGATGTCAATTATTCAGAATGCCCTTTCTTTAAAAAAACATTCAAGTTCACGGAAAAGGGTGCGGTATTCACTCAATGTAATATCACCAGAAAATATACAACTCTTATAAAGAAAAAAAAATAACTACATAGTATTTTGAATTGTCATTTTATTTGTTACAATGGCGACTTTCAAATTACATTTAGATACATTTTACAGCAAGACGTATAAAAAATATTATCTCACAATCTCAACATAAGTAGTCTTCTAAAATTAGTACTATAAAAAGTCGCGTAGCGGAGCGTAGTGGACTCACTTTGGGTGTTATAGTCACGTGACTACGTCAGCTTTAAGCCAACGTAATGGGTTGCCGATGCGGAAGGGCGGTAGATTTCATAACAAATTCAAGAGCTGCCCTGTTAGTCCTGACCAAATGGCCAGACTTATAGCTAGTTATGGAACTGACTTATAATCATAAGTTCTCTTTGAAAAGTGAAACAAGTAAATAGCCGTTAACAGCCTAATATGTGGTGACTGTTGCTTCGACTATATATGCATACAGTATTCGAACGAAAATGCTTGGTGTTGCATATCTGCATTACATTACTCTAATAACATTGGTAATGTTCCATACAGGTAAGTTACATTAATAACTTTGTTTTTTGTTCATTGATACCTAACAGTACAAGTTAAAAAGAGTACATGTAAGATTACAGCTCACAATACAAAGTGAATATTTTTAATATGATTATATTTTATATTGAAATTTTGTCCCCATGTGTACATATGATAATAGCGAACTTTATTCCAAGAAAAAGTATATATATACATATATATTTATATATATATATATATATACATATATATATATATATATATATATATATATATATATATATATATATATATATATATATATATATATATATATATACATATAAATAAATAAATAAATAAATAAATATATATATATATATATATATATATATATATATATATATATATATATATATATTATAAATATGTAGAAATATGTAAAATTTATCAAACACTATGTAATTTAGGTTTAATTCTTTCACAATACACCAGTTCATAAACCAATAAGACGCGTAGTGTTATAGCAAGATAAAAAAATTATATAATACTATCATAAATATATGTCTACTTTCTAATGCATTTAATTTGATATAATTCAGGTGAAGCGAAAATCAACTCTTTCACAATAAACCAGTCCACAAATCAAACAGTGTACATCAAGATAGGTGAGCCTGTGATATTTTATTGTAACGTTAGCCATGAAAGCACGGACGCTGTAATTCGTATTAGAGACGAGTCAAGGGAAGTGATAGTACAAGCAACAAATACGACACTGTTAACATTAGAACGTAAGACCGCGAACTGCCAAGAATCAGGGAATTACTCTTGTGATGTCTCCAGAAATGAAAAAGTTGTCTCTGAGATAAATGTGTACCTGTTGGTGGTAAAATGTAAGTATTTGCAATGTTTCTTTCATGTTTAGGGGAATATGGAGGCTAGTACAACACTTGTCTTTAAAGCCAACATCTTTGTAGTTACAATATTACTTATATTATACATTTTTTCATGCGATATTTGAAATAATATGTAGCTGACTTCTCCATAAAATGATGAGTGTTTCGCGTAGTTTATAGGTCTGGATAGAATAGTCATGAAGTTAGGGTCAGTGCGTCTATGAAACGAGTTTAACGTCGTTTGATTAGATATGGTTTCAACAATGTAGTATATATGTATAGAAGCGATGTTGACGATACTGAGGGTGGTTTTTATATGCTAATTTAGGAGTTGTTTACTGCTGAAAATAAAGGAATAAAAAGCATTGTATACTCTGATGAAGTTTGTATTTGACGTTACCAATGAACATAATTCAACAATGGTTGAGTCCTCAAAAAAGGATCAGGCGTTTAGTTGTAAAGAACCAAATGTTACCCATGTATCGGGTCCTCTCATAAAAGATAAGCGCAATTAGAGGCGTATTGCTGACAATACAATCCCTCCTTATACAATATTATTGTAAAGTATGGGATATATGTCATATACCCTAAATATCTTAAGCCAGAAAAACTCACTTTGCATAATTTATAACTGCATACAGTTTTGATTTAGATACTAATTTACTTGTTTATATTTAATCCATTTTTGTTAAGGTCAACCTCAAATTTGCCAAGCACAGGAATCACCGAAAAATGTTCACGCACGAATTGGAGGGAATCTCACTATTCCTATCTGTGTGATAGCAAACCCAGATATTTTTGATGGATTTAAGTTGCATTTTAATGGAAAAGAAATCACTGAAAACAGAGCTAGCCGGGTCAGCTACAGTGTTGAAAAGTACCCCCCGTCCGTGATCCATTACACGGTGCGAGTTTTCATTGCCAGGGTTCTGCCGGACGAAAATCAAATCTTAACAATTGCCGCTGATTCACGGCTTTATAGTATCACGCCGTATACGATAAAACTCAATTTAACCCGTGAGTACATTTGTTTTGGGTAGTTATTCTGCTGACTTGAACCCCGACTCCAACTCGAGACTTTTGGTTTAGCAGTTTAGCTCTATACCGCTAGGTTTAGCAGTTTAGCTATCTACCACTAGGTTTAGCTGTCTAGCTCTATACCGCTAGGTTTAATAGTCTAGCTCTCTACACCTAAGTTTAGGAGTGTAGCAGGTTTAGCAGTCTAGCTCTCTACCGCTAGGTTTAGCTCTATACCGCTAGGTTTAACAGTCTAGCTCTCTACCGCTAGGTTTACCAGTCTAGCTCTGTACCTCTAGGCTACGCCATCGCATGATATTTTGCATTACTCCTCACGAATTTGTTATCGCGATAGAGGCTTTAGATCGGCCAATGATTGAACATCTTTAGAATTTTACCAAGCGCCTGGTCATAACAGCAGATCATATCTACTTGCAACAGTATTTCTTTCAGGATTTTTTCCCGGCGGTGTGGGGGGGGGGGGGGCAGCGCCATAACACACTCCCTCTCCAGAGCACGTCCACCGTCATCTCTTGCCCGGTTGAAAGTTAGAAAATGTATGTATACTATAACCATTGTTCGAGACCCGGAAGTTTTCAGTGTATCCTTGCACCACCCTCCCGAAAGGAAATAAAATCTTGAATGACAATCTAGGCGTGATATACACACGTTTCTACCTCAACACTCTCGTGCTGTGTGCTTGTCTTAAGAGAATTCCTCGAGAGCTAACTACACATTCATTCTGCGCTTGTTTCTTTACTTTAACTGTATTACGCACTTTAGAATAAATCACATTTTTATGAACCAAAGCTGCATACATTAGATTGTTTAAGAGGCACGTTATCAGATACGACAGGCTTTAAGCGATGAACACATCCAACACAGCCAAAGCCTAAAGCTTTAAGTAGTGCTTGAGCTAGTAGGTTTTTTTTTTGCAAAAGATGTAGCCAGATTATGGCGTGCATCTTGGATTAGTTTAGGCTTAAGTAGCATCTTTCTAACCAGACGGCACATTGGGCTGATGATGTAGATTTCGTGTTCAGAGTTTCTATCAGAAATTTTTCTCCGTGGGGGGGGGGGGGACACATTTACGTAAAGTGGGAAATAATAAATAAATAATAAAATATTTGTTTCTATATGAAATATACTTTTTATATTTCGTTCAGGAAGAGATGCCTGAAAGAAACTCTGTTTCTCTACCCTCTGCACATGAAATAGACAGCACGGAGCCCGCTGTCTTCTTTACTTAGTGTCAGGCACCACTAATAAAACTTTGGGGAGTCTTGTGGGTCCGTGAATGGAATTCGGTACCAAACTCTCCGTCGTTAAGTATTAAGGAACGAGACACTACATGTGTGCATAAAGATCTTACAAGATCTTTTTATATCTTTTATTTAAGTGCTTGACTCCTATACGGGACGGCGTGCTCGAATGGTAGAGCGTTCGGCTGCTATGATTAAAGTCTCGAGTTCAGATCTCAGTTCGGGCTCGTGACTTAATTACATCACTGAGTCTATCAAGCTCTGATCGGTACCCGCCTCAAGCTAGAGAAACGAAGGGACCTAGGCATAATGCTAATACACCTATCCATTCACCTGCATTAATTGTCTTAGGTACGAAAGGGAAAGATTGTTACTTTTCTCCTAAGAAAATCTGTTACCTTGAGAAACATTTCAGCCGTATTTTAACATCTGTTCTGGGCTAGATTCAGAAACCCTTTTTTAACAACGTCATTAAGATGTCTACCAAGCAGACCATAACACCATATTTATAATTTGAAAATACATGTAATCACATCAAGAGCAACAATAGGAGAAAATATTTTAAAAAATAGAACCGCCCTTTTACAACAAATGATGGCGTTTTATCCTGACTAGGAACTAGAACATTTAAATCTAAGAATTCCAAATATAATGGCTTAGATCTTGCGACTCAACGAACTGGTTATGAGATTTCATGACCATAATTTTAGAACTAAAATGGCTCATGGTCACTACTTCTCTATTTGAAATTTGATTTTCGAACTAAATAATGGGGTCACGATCTAAATTTTAGAATATAACTGTCGACAGGTCACGACCTTATTCTTCTGATTTTAAAATGAATTTAGTCATGATTTAGAACAATGTTATTACACGCTGAACATACATTCAAAGCATTGTTAAGCAGATGTTTAAGTGAGCACTTGAGATAACGGCGCCTCTCCTCATATGAGTGTGTTTTTAATACCAGTCTCAACATGTGCTTATCCAACCAGTGTCCTACATAGGTTGTCCTATCAGTGTCCTACAATGTTTGTCCTACCAGTCTAACTAATGTGCTTGTCCTACCAGTGTCCTACTGTGCTTGGTCTTCAAGTATACACATGTGCATGTCCCCATGCGCTCATCCTATCAGTGTCATACAATGGTTGCCCCACTCTGCTAGTTATACATTTGTTCAAATGTGCCTATCAACACGTGCTTGTCCTACTAGAGTCCTAAGGGAGCAGCTATTATCTTGTCCTAAAATTTTGTTAAACGACAGCTGTTGCTTATCAAGCAATTTTACTTATTATAAATTCACATTATATCGTGGTTTAGACGAGCAGGGAAGGCGAGCTAATAATGCAAAGAGTTGGAGGTGACTGCACTCTTCGCACACACACAAATATATATGTATATATATATATATATATATATATATATATATATATATATATATATATATATATATATATATATTTATATACATATATATATATATGTGTATATATATATATATATATATATATATATATACTTATCAACCTATATAAATAATGTACATAATCATTATCTCAGGAGACGGATTACTTCCTGATACTGATCCATTTCCCCTGCACATTTTACTTGTTGGGATATTCGCCCCAGTGGTTCTCATAGCTTTGACAACAGCCTTTATCTGCCACAGACGACGTGGTTTAAAAGGTAGGCATACAATCAGCGAACGGCGATATTTCTATTTATGTTTTCCTGACAACTGTCTTTACGATTACAACCATCGTTACTCACAGAAACCCTTAATGCGAATCCAAAGCATATCTAAGTGAACGGTAAATAATGTAGCAATATTTCGAAACTTACAACCCTGAGTCCTTGTTATTTGTATATATATATATATATATATATATATATATATATATATATATATATATATATATATATATATGAGTGTGTGTGTGTGTGTGTGTGTTGCTAAACTAAATTAATTTTTTACATAAGCTACGTTAAAGCCTTATGTTTTCTGCATTGCATATATGATCATAAACTCATTGACACGATTTTTTTTTATTTCATCAAAACATACAGCAAGACAAAGTAAAAGCCAAGATCAGTAAGTTTTTTATATATTACTATATAGTTCGATTTTACAAAACGAGATTTTTAAATACCAAATTAATCTAAAACAATTGTATTTTTTGTGAAGAAAAAAATCACTACATAATACAATGCTGTAATATTATGCATATTTAATTTTCGGTCTTATTTTAGTTCTATGTTAGCCTAATTTAGCTGCAAAAAGTGCAAAGAACATTTTGTTTAGTCAGAAATAGGAACTTCTTTAATAATAAGTTCTTTAATAAAACACATTTTGTTTTTTACCCGATACCTACTTCACTTTGTGAAATTCTTTAACACTTTTTTAACCTACTAGCTCAACCTATTATTATAATTACGAACTATAAATTCACGATATATGAAACATTTCTCTTTTTCCCTAAACTGGTTTACACAATCTTTTCAAATAATAAACCATATCCCTACCCTTCATGTGATATATTGCGTATATAAGCCCTCATTTTATTAGACATGGGTAGCTGATTTCGTTCAGATTGCGTTTTAATACAGAAATATCTTGTTATATGTATTTTTAATACTGCAAAACACAATGACTATTCTTTATATTGATAAAGTTTTATCGTTTCACTTTTGTTTCAGTGGTGATCTAGGATTGCGAATCAGTTACCAAGGAGAACATGATCGTATGTATAGATATATCAGTATACATCTAATCCATCATGCTTAGTTAAATAAATTTCTGTCATTCGTATATATAGTTCTCTTCGTGGACACCACGACGCAAGCCGACTATTTAACCCTCTTCCCGCCCCCTCCCTCGCTCTCCAGGCTGGTGAGCTGTGGTTCACGCCAAATATTTACAACGGTAGAGCCGGATCAAATTTTTAGCGGCTTTTTGGGGCAGAAAGTTAAGTTTTTAAACGATTTGAAACTAAGGGGAGGTAACGAAGGGGAGGTTGCTTTCACAAGAGCTGGGAATAGGGGGGGGGGGGGAGATAATCGTCCTTCAAGTGCTGTAGTGTTTTAAAGGAATTACTTTCAGTCGTAACATTGGTAGTGTCGAATTCACAAATTACGAATCACTGAAAAGTAGAATAGAAAACAATTAAATAGCGGCGGTATTCTACTGGTGATCAATTGTTAGAGGTAAATATGTTTATTAATTATTAGACTCGTATTTGTCTATTTCAAGGAAACGCGCGAAACGCACGAGGAGGGGGGGGGGGGGTGGGGGTTTCTAGACGATTCCATTGACTGTCATTAGCATACCTAATATTCTCCATTAGAATTTTGAAATATACACGTATCTATTTTTAAAAAAAAAAACTTTAAATGTGTTATTTCATTTTCTCAACTAGAAGACTTGGATAACGATGGATACAACACAATCTATGACGTCATAGACACGGTGAAGACCAACACCAACACAGATGACGTCACCGCGGTCAACACCCTGAAACCTCCCGAATCTGCGGACGTTGCCCACACCGTGCCCGCCCTCCCCCCGAGGCCGCTAACACCACAGTTCGTCAATTTTGAGTCCAGTTTACATGATCTATCCATGTTCGATATTGATGAAACTATAACAGAAATCGGCAATGATAAACGGAAAGAAACGACGGGCTACGGAGGAAACAGAATAAATTTACATCGCGATGAAAGCGTTGGAGTTAGAAATACTACCACAGCCAATATTGACGGGACGGGTTGCGTTGAAATTAACGCCAAAAAACAAGAAGTCAATAAAACGGAGAGCGGAGAATATATTGACGACACTTACCTCGTTCCCGTAATTCCTGCATACGCTGTTAAAATTTCTTCACCCGAGGGACATTTTCAAGATGGAGAATTTAGACACAGAGTTTTTGCAAATTTAGAACATAATTCTAATGACCATAATACAGAAGAGGTATTAAGTGCTGAAGACGAGAAAAATAATTACTTTATTCCGGTTCTTTTTAATAAGTTTTAACACTTTCACTGTTTCTTGATATTACTTCACTTTGCTTTCAAGTAACAAGTGCGTATCCTGTCCTACGCTTACACTATTTTCGCTCATGATGTTTCTAATAAGAATTTTGCTTAATAAAGAACTTTTTCTCTTCTTCTTCTTCTTCGTTCTTAATTTTTGAATTATGGTGGAGGATTCAGACAACAAGTCCAAATAAAGAACAACTAACGTTCTGTTTTATGTATTTTTATAAGTCTTAAACAGCGTTTAGCAATATAACTGGAATAAACTTGAAAATCGCATGAATTGTTTATAAAATAACTAACTGGTAAGTATCTTGTGTTGATATAAGTATGTAAACTATCAAGAGACTAAGCACAATAGAGGCCCATTCATTGCCTGGATATCCCAAATGCTAAGTGTAGTTGATAATCCATATTCATTTTACGCCATATTCTGATTATCCTATTGCTAATTACATATTTGTATGTGTTTTATGTGTATTTTGAAATGTGTACATTGAATTAAAATAATTACATTATTTTGAGTTTTCTATAATTGCTTTACAAAAATGAAAAAAAAATTAGAATTTCTTTTACTCCTCCCCATCTCTCTCTCTCTCTCTCTCTCTCTCTCTCTCTTTCTCTCTCTCTCGTTCTCTCTCTTTCTCTCTCTCTCTCTCTATATATATATATATATATATTTATATATATATATATATGTATATATATGTATATATATATATGTATATATATGTATATATATATATATATATATATATATATATATATATATATATATATATATATATATATATATATATATATATATATATATATATATATATATATATATAAACTCAGGGACGTTTTACTGACCCCTATCCCAACTCGAGACTTGCAGGTAACAGCCATACCGCTCAGATGCGGAACTAGAAAAAGGGCCACCCCGAAAACAATTCTTTTTGGCCCCCCATATATCAGAGGCGTAGCGACCGTTCCCGGCACCCGGTGACAAACTTTCGATTTGCACCCCCCTCAAGCTTTCGTTTTGCACCCCCCCTCGCTACGCCTATGCCATATTTATATATTAAGATATATATATATATAAATTAAGGTCGGCTGTGGGCCCCTAAACTGCCTGGGCACCTCCCCCCCCCCGCATTGCGTGGTCTGGCGGCACTGTAGTTCCGCCCCTGCTATCGCTTAGGCCACGCCTATATAGGCCTATATAAACTACTTATATATTTATAACCTCTCAAAAACATACTGTTTTTTAAATACAACGAATCTGTCAAATAATTATGACGAATGCACGATTGACGTAGCACATCTAAACAGGATATGATGAATACACAACGACGTAGTTCACTATGTCAGTTGTTGCATGTCCTTGACACGACATGGTGAGCACGTCAATGGGTGACGCCATCACGTGGTGTCCTGCCCACGACACATCACCAACGCCTAGCTTCCCGCCAAGTAATCTCCACTGTCCCATTCAAGTGGACATCCGTTTTCTAGAAACTAGAAGGAGGATATAGATGCAACAATTCATTCACGGTTACACACGAAATTGTGCAATGGTTATTGAATCCTCAGTAAGAAAATGATTTGTGTATGTCGAAATACAGTTCAAAGCTAAAAAAAATGATTATTTTAATAGCTATACACGTTATTCTTATTCTCACATTCGGCAGAGAAACTGCATGTAAGTAATATATATGTAATTTTTTTTTATGTTTTGGTTTGTAAGCTGTATACATGGAGCAAGTTTTAGTTTTACTTTGAATTACATATAAATCAACGAATATATATATATATATATATATATATATATATATATATATATATATATATATATATATATATATATATATACTAGCGTACCCGACCCCCGCGCGTTGCCGCGGGGATAGAAGAAAGTTTGACGAAATATATTAGGATTTCACGAACGCGTTATCAATTATAATTATATGTTCTTAGACGCGTGAACTTCTTTACTAAAAATGAGTTATTTAAATGTAAACAATGCCTGTTCTTGGATCATAAATATCAGGACACGGGTTTACCTACACTACCGCATGAAAACCTTGAGTGTACATTAGTCACTCACCCAAATAATATGATAGAACACACTTCGGTGACCGCCTCTGTGTCAGAGACGTAGAGGGGCGCTCTCAGGGCCCCCACCCCCCGATTACACAACCGCATATGCGCTTCGTACGACCCCTGGCTCCTTAAAACTAACAGGCGCCATCGGCCAAATAGCATTCTGTTAATAATGATGCAGATTTCGTCATTCGCTAAAGTGACACAAATGAACAGGATTTTTTTCTTTAACACGTAAAAAAATTATTTGACGTATTTTAAATATCAGTGTGACTGATGCAATATGCTAGCGTTACTTATGGTCTATTATTAGATGCTCGATCTCAATTTCTGACTGGATTGTCTAATAATAGATGCTTTTTGCATCATTCGCAAAGTGGCGAAATTCTACAGTAGGCTCCTCATATTCAAAAAGTTATTTTTTCATCTTTCGCAAGGTGACGAAACTGTACAGAAGGATTTCCTCGCGTTACAAAGTTATTTTTAGAAGCCTGTTGTAGTTTTACCGCTGAATATAGTAGTACCCCTTACTCGCTATGCAGGACGCTCGAATAACGGATGCCAAGTGCCAACATAGTCGCTCTAAAACTCTGGGCGCCAAACCGTGTATTGACGAAAGTTGTACCCTATATGGCGCCGCCCGTAAGAAACTTTAGTTTTCTTTTTCGCAGAAATATTCTCGGGAGTATTCTCATCTACTCCCTAAAGTTTCATGGCACTCGAACGAACCGCATCCGAGTTTTATTTTTTATATACCGTGTATAGAGAAAAAAAAATCGCTCCACCCTCGGGGGGGGGGGGGGGGGGCGCCGCCCTTGCAATATTAAACAATATTTTTTTTACAGAACCCTACCATTGAGTGATCTAATCATCTCCCCAAAGTTTCATGGTACACGGATGAACGGTGTGAAACCGAAATTTTATAAACCGTATATAGAGAAATCGCAGCCGCCCGTGGCGCCACCCTTGCGAAATTAAAAAAAAAGGATTTTTTTACAGAACCCTTCCCTGAATTGTTCTAATCAACTCCCCCAAAGTCTCATGGCTATCGGATAACGGTGTCACACCAAAATCGACTTATTTTTACAAACCGTATATAGAGAAAAATCGCACCCGCCCTTGACAAAATAACTCTAAAAATTATTTTCAATAGTTAATTCTCAATTGAAAAATATTAAATGAGTGTAATCGATCGTTCCAAAACTGTTTTATTTTCAAAAATGTAATTATAATTGTATGTATCACTTATAATATTTAAAAAAAAAAATACAAATATTTATTATTTAGTAAGATTACAATACACACATATTGTGTTTCGATTCAGGCCGGACTTCTATCGTAGCATTTTCAATAAACAACTACAGTAATACAACTTCGCCTGCGTATACGGGCATTCATGTGGGATTTAACTGTGTTATAGCAAGCACGAATGAAACGTTCGAGATTCGTTTAAAAAACGAGCACGGAAATATTCTAGCGCAGGATACCAACAGCACACAGTTGGTATATAAACTCCAGCAAGAAAACTGTCTAGACGGAGGAAATTACACTTGTGAAGTGTACGAGAAAGATATCTTGGTAGATTCCAGGAATGGGTATCTACAAGCTGTAAAATGTAAGCAATTTTACTTGTTTTTTTTATAAAAGGGAAGTATTGAATTTATCATAGGCATTGTCTTTTTTAAATGGACACATTTTATATTAAAACTAATTCTTTGTTTGCGATGTTTACCCCCCCCCACACACACATACACACACACACATACAAACACACTTCCTCACCCACATGTGTTCGTACAAATATATATTCACACACACACTTGTTCAAATACACACACACACACGTGTTCACAAACACACGTGTTCACACATACACAGACAAGTTCAAACACACTCACTGACACATACACACATATACGCATACACGTATTTACAATAATATATTTACATATAGACATATATATATATAGGTTATATGTATATATATATATATATATATATATATATATATAGGCTATATATATATATAGGCTATATATATATATATATAGGCCATATATATATATATATATATATATATATATATATATATATATATATATATATATATAAATCTAAGATTTTATATTAATTTAGTCATCATCAAAGCTTGCTTTAATATTTGGTCAATTTAACAGGTAATTCATGGATCGACATGTTTACCGTTAACCAATCCTCTAACAAAACCGTCATCACCCCTAAAAACAACTCTATCTCGCTCTCTTGCAACATCAACCACGCAAGCAAAAATACGGAGATACGAATTAGAGATGAGTCCGGTGCTAACCTGGCTCGTGTTTCTAACAGCAAACACCTCAAGTTTGAACATCCGAAAGCCGATTGTCTCAAGTCTGGAAACTACACATGTGAGGTTTGGCAGTCAGACACAATGGTTGATATTGCCAACGTTTACGTACTTGTTTTTAAATGTAAGTTTTTAAAAAATATTGTCAAAATAATTAACAAAAGAATTGGTATGTTTATGTTGCTTCTTTTTCTTTTCATAGATTTTTTTTAGTTCTTTTGGACATTAATATCGATTCTTGAAATATTTCTTTTAAACGGAATGTGTGGCCGTGTGGTATAGCGCTTGACTGCTAATATATCTGAGTTCACTCACTTTAGGAATAGTAAAGTCGGCTTTTATAAGTTCACTTAGGTTCGCCTTTATCATAGTGTTATATTTTACCCAGTTCAACCTATTATATTGATATATTTTACCTAGGACCACTTTTATATTAAAATATTTAACATAGAACCACTTATTATATTGATATATTTTACCTACGCCCACCTATTATATTGCTATATTTTACCTAGTCCCATCTATTATATTGCTATATTTTACCTAGACCCACCTAAACCATTCTCTTATATTATCCTAGGTCCAACTATATCATTATGTTATATTTGATCTGGACCCACCTATACCATTCTCTTATATTACACCTAGGCCCACCTATTATATTGCTATATTTTACCTTGAACCACCTTTATTATAATGATATATTACACCTAGGCCCACCTATTATATTGCTATATTTTACCTTGAACCACCTTTATTATAATGATATATTACACCTAGGTCCACCTATTATAATGCTATATTTTACCTTAAACCACCTTTATTATAATGATATATTACACCTAGGTCAACCTATTATAATGCTATATTTTACCTTGAACCACCTTTATTATAATGATATATTACACCTAGGTCCACCTATTATAATGCTATATTTTACCTTGAACCACCTTTATTATACTTATATATTACACCTAGGTCCACCTATACCATCCTCTTATATTACACCTAGGCCCACCTATTATATTGCCATATTTTACCTTGAACCACATTTATTATACTGATATATTACACCTAGGTCCACCTATACCATCCTCTTATATTACACCTAGGCCCACCTATACCATCCTCTTATATTACACCTAGGCCCACCTATTATATTGCCATATTTTACCTTGAACCACCTTTATTATACTGATATATTACACCTAGGCCCACCTATACCATCCTCTTATATTACAACTAAGCCCACCTATTATATTGCCATATTTTACATTGAACCACCTTTATTATACTGATATATTACACATAGGCCCACCTATACCATCCTCTTATATTACACCTAGGCCCACCTATTATATTGCCATATTTTACATTGAACCACCTTTATTATACTGATATATTACACCTAGGCCCACCTATACCATTCTCTTATATTACACCTAGGCCCACCTATTATATTGCCTAAATTTACTTTGAACCACCTTTATTATACTAATATATTACACCTAGGCCCACCTATACCATCCTCTTATAATACACCTAGGCCCACCTATACCATCCTCTTATAATACACCTTGGCCCACATATACCATTCTCTTATATTACACCTAGGCCCACCTATTATATTCTATATTTTTCCTTGAACCACCTTTATTATACTGATATATTACACCTACGCCCACCTATACCATCCTCTTATAATACACCTAGGCCCACCTATACCATCCTTTTATAATACACCTAGGCCCACCTATACCATTCTGTTATATTACACCTAGGCCCACCTATTATATTCTATATTTTACCTTGAACCACCTTTATTATACTGATATATTACACCTAGGCCTACATATTATATTGCTATATTTTACCTTGAACCACCTTTATTATACTGATATATTACACCTAGGCCCACCTATACCATTCTCTTATATTACACCTAGGCCCACCTATCCCATGCTACTCTGTGGACTCACCAAAGCTGCTACACGGTGAACTAGGAAGCAACATCACCATTTTCATCTGCGTCATCACACACCCGGATGTATTCAAGTACTTACATCAGATGTCAATGAACGGGAAAAAGATCACGGATGACAGATCAAACAGGGTCAGCTACTCTGTCGATAAGGACCCGCTGTCCGGCATCCATTACTTTGTCCGGGTGTTCATCTCTAAAATCACACCGGAGGACGCAGGGGTGATAACAATAACAGGAGAGACAGAATTGTTTCCTATTGTACCGTTCACGTTGAAACTAAATGTTACAGGTAGATGATTTCATATTACTGCCTGATAGGTTAGGTTTAGGCTAGCGACATAGACATCTGACATGACCTTTACAGGCATATTTGTCTTTGGTTAGTTTCTCCAACTGTCTCCATGTGTATCCAATCTTCTTGGTGTCTTCTTCCGGGTCACGTCTTCATGTCTTTCTTGATCGGTCTCATTCTTTTGTCCTTAGGATTATTACAGCCTAATAAATAAAAATAAAAAGCTTTTTAAAAAGTAGATATTATATTTTTTCAATTAAACGGATCCTATCTGATTTTTTTTTCTGTCCGGAAATATTGATCAATCCTGTTTTTAATATTTTATGTTTTTTTTTGTTATACGAAATTTTAAGATGATAATACATAGCAATTGAAACAAAAAAATATATCGAGGGTCCATACTGTTTTGTGATATACGAGATTTTTAAGGCGTTCTCCATTTTAGTTGACATTTCAAGTAAACGTGTCGAATATTATTATTTTATTTCCAGAAAAAGATGACTAATCCTAACATTTAATATGTAATGTATTTTGTTTTGTTAAACGCGATTTCAAGATTATAACTCATAACATAACGCTTTATGATCTATAAATAACCTTTATTATAGGGTCCAGAGATATATGAACTTTTCAAAGCTTCATCTATTTTAATTGACAGCAACTTAACCGTGTTCATGTCCTTTCGGTACAAAGTTGTCGCAACAATTGATTAGTAGAAAACCCACTGAACTTGACGCCGTTAAAATTAATAAATGATTCATCTTCAATGAATAATTTTTTTTATTTTCTTACTTTAATTAGATAAACTTGGATTGGCTATTTTATTGGTCATGATTACATTTCTGTACTATAAACTTTTTCAAGTAAATATTTTAAAATAAATTCAAATTTTTATAAGACAGCTTGACATAGTTATGTATGTTTGTTTACATTTATCATGCAGAACTAGATAGGATCAATGTTTTATTTATCTATACATAGTTTAGTTACCGAAAATATCAGAATTATTATTAATTCATTATTATATTTGTATGTATAATTTTATCTGTATACATTTGTAGAGTTTTCGTTTCCCATTCCACAACATCTTTTGTCTTCCGCTTCTTTCAACACTGTTAGTAGTTTAGAATAACGTTAAAAACACTTCTTTAAAACTATGATTTCTAAAAAAAAAACTAGTTTAAAAATATGCAATTTTCACATTTTAAATAATTTTTTTGCTCTGTATTTTTGTTTTTGTTTTTTAAACAAATGACATGTAGAAATATGAAGATATGTTGACAAAATATTATGTACATTTTTTTTATAAGTTATATTTACTATTATAACAGGTTATTTACCACATGAAGCAGTCACCCATTATTATGTTATGGCCGGTGTCCTCCCAGTGGTTGCTATTGTTTTTGTTGTTGTCGCGCTGATAATCTATAGAAGAAAGAAATTAAAGGGTAAGCATGGAGCAATCTAAAAGCTCTTAATACTTACTTTACATACTTAGATAAGTAACACATTCTTAGATTACTGCCTACAAAAGTAAGAGGCACACTTTTCTTATTAGATAAAAGCAATTGATATAACACTTTTAATTTAATATACAGAAACATTATATTAACACAGTAGATTTTAACTTTTTGAGGTACTGAACCCCACCAGTTTCATATGCGCAATCAACGAACTCTTTTTAATAGTTGTATCGTCCACACTGACTAAATTTTATCGTGAATTATAGAAGTCGGGTGTGAGTCATGAACTCCACATAAACCCTGTCTCTGACTAACTGAACTCTGTGGTTCGATCGAACCCAGGTTAAGAATCATTGCATTAGCAATATAATTATATTAACTGAACACGTTTAATAGTCATTAGTTTATAAAAGTTATGGGGGGCCTACTTACGTTAATGATATAATTATTTTAGCAAAATATTAATATTAGGAATAGGTACATTTGTAATTAGATTATATTATGTTTTTGTAATAATTTAAAGATCAATTTAAAATTTTCAGCTGCTCAGAAGTTCAGAGTTAGATTTGAAAAGTAAGTATATCAAACTATCAAACTATCAAGCATTAAAAGTTATAGCATTTTTAAAAATAATTATGTAAGTTGAAAGCAAACGCATTCCCTCTTTTATTCAACCTGATTTACAGTCAAATCCCGGGTAAACTATACTCAATGAATCGACCGGAATCGAGCGTTTCTCTTACCATTGCTACTAGATACTTGACCCGTGGTCTCTGGCTCCTGTACCTAGATACTTGACCCGTGGTCTCTGGCTTCTGTACCTTGATACTTGACCCGTGGTCTCTGGCTTCTGTACCTAGATACTTGACCCGTGGTCTCTGGCTCCTGTACCTAGATACTTGTGGTCTCTGGCTCCTGTACCTAGATACTTGACCAGTGGTCTCTGGCTCCTGTACCTAGATACTTGACCCGTGGTCTCTGGCTCCTGTACCTAGATACTTGACCCGTGGTCTCTGGCTCCTGTAGATACTTGACCCGTGGTCTCTGGCTCCTGTACCTAGATACTTGACCCGTGGTCTCTGGCTCCTGTAGATACTTGACCCGTGGTCTCTGGCTTCTGTACCTAGATACTTGACCCGTGGTCTCTGGCTTCTGTACCTTGATACTTGACCCGTGGTCTCTGGCTTCTGTACTTAGATACTTGACCCGTGGTCTCTGGCCCCTGTACCTAGATACTTGACCAGTGGTCTCTGGCTCCTGTACCTAGATACTTGACCCGTGGTCTCTGGCTCCTGTACCTAGATACTTGACCCGTGGTCTCTGGCTCCTGTACCTAGATACTTGACCCGTGGTCTCTGGCTCCTGTACCTAGATACTTGACCCGTGGTCTCTGGCTCCTGTACCTAGATACTTGACCAGTGGTCTCTGGCTCCTGTACCTAGATACTTGACCCGTGGTCTCTGGCTCCTGTACCTAGATACTTGACAAGTGGTCTCTGGCTCCTGTACCTAGATACTTGACCCGTGGTCTCTAGTTCCTGTACCTAGATACTTGACCCGTGGTCTCTGGCCCCTGTACCTAGATACTTGTGGTCTCTGGCCCCTGTACCTAGATACTTGTGGTCTCTGGCTCCTGTACCTAGATACTTGACCCGTGGTCTCTGGCTCTTGTACCTAGATACTTGACCAGTGGTCTCTGGCTCCTGTACCTAGATACTTGTGGTCTCTGGCTACTGTACCTAGATACTTTACCCGTGGTCTCAGGCTCCTGTACCTAGATACTTGTGGTCTCTGGCTCCTGTACCTAGAAACTTGACCCGTGGTCTCTGGCCCCTGTACCTAGATACTTGACCCGTGGTCTCTGGCTCCTGTACCTAGATACTTGACAAGTGGTCTCTGGCTCCTGTACCTAGATACTTGACCCGTGGTCTCTAGTTCCTGTACCTAGATACTTGACCCGTGGTCTCTGGCCCCTGTACCTCGATACTTGTGGTCTCTGGCTCTTGTACCTAGATACTTGTGGTCTCTGGCCCCTGTACCTAGATACTTGACCAGTGGTCTCTGGCCCCTGTACCTAGATACTTGTGGTGTCTGGCCCCTGTACCTAGATACTTGTGGTCTCTGGCTCCTGTACCTAGATACTTGTGGTCTCTGGCTCCTGTACCTAGATACTTGTGGTCTCTGGCCCCTGTACCTAGATACTTGACCAGTGGTCTCTGGCCCCTGTACCTAGATACTTGTGGTCTCTGGCCCCTGTACCTAGATACTTGTGGTCTCTGGCCCCTGTACCTAGATACTTGACCCGTGGTCTCAGGCTCCTGTACCTAGATACTTGTGGTCTCTGGCCCCTGTACCTAGATACTTGTGGTCTCTGGCCCCTGTACCTAGATACTTGACCAGTGGTCTCTGGCCCCTGTACCTAGATACTTGTGGTCTCTGGCCCCTGTACCTAGATACTTGTGGTCTCTGGCTCCTGTACCTAGATACTTGACCCGTGGTCTCTGGCTCCTGTACCTAGATACTTGACCTGTGGTCTCTGGCTCCTGTACCTAGATACTTGACCAGTGGTCTCTGGCTCCTGTACTTAGATACTTGACAAGTGGTCTCAGGCTCCTGTACCTAGATACTTGTTGTCTCTGGCTCCTATACCTAGATACTTGACCCGTGGTCTCTGGCTCCTGTACCTAGATACTTGACCAGTGGTCTCTGGCTCCTATTCCTAGATACTTGACCCATGGTCTCGGGCTCCTGTACCTAGATACTTTACCCGTGGTCTCTGGCACCTGTACCTAGATACTTGACCAGTGGTCTCTGGCTCCTGTACCTAGATACTTGACCAGTGGTCTCTGGCTCCTGTACCTAGATACTTGACCAGTGGTCTCTGGCTCCTATTCCTAGATACTTGACCCGTGGTCTCGGGCTCCTGTACCTAGATACTTTACCCGTGGTCTCTGGCTCCTGTACCTAGATACTTGACCAGTGGTCTCTGGCTCCTGTACCTAGATACTTGTGGTCTCTGGCTCCTGTACCTAGATACTTGACCCGTGGTCTCTGGCTCCTGTACCTAGATACTTGACCCGTGGTCTCTGGCTCCTGTACCTAAATACTTGACCAGTGGTCTCTGGCTCCTGTACTTAGATACTTGACAAGTGGTCTCAGGCTCCTGTACCTAGATACTTGTTGTCTCTGGCTCCTATACCTAGATACTTGACCCGTGGTCTCTGGCTCCTGTATCTAGATACTTGACCAGTGGTCTCTGGCTCCTGTACCTAGATACTTGACCCGTGGTCTCAGGCTCCTGTACCTAGATACTTGTGGTCTCTGGCTCCTGTACCTAGATACTTGACCCGTGGTCTCTGTCTCCTGTACCTAGATACTTGACACGCGGTCTCTAGTTCCTGTACCTAGATACTTGACCCGTGGTCTCTGGCTCTTGTACCTAGATACTTGACCAGTGGTCTCTGGCACCTGTACCTAGATACTTGACCCGTGGTCTCTGGCTCGTGTACCTAGATACTTGACCCGTGGTCTCTGGCCCCTGTACCTAGATACTTGTAGTCTCTGGCTCCTGTAAATAGATACTTGTGGTCTCTGGCCCCTGTACCTAGATACTTGTGGTCTCTGGCCCCTGTACCTAGATACTTGTGGTCTCTGGCCCCTGTACCTAGATACTTGTGGTCTCTGGCTCCTGTACCTAGATACTTGACCCGTGGTCTCAGGCTCCTGTACCTAGATACTTGTGGTCTCTGGCCCCTGTACCTAGATACTAGACCCGTGGTCTCTGGCTCCTGTACCTAGATACTTGACCCGTGGTCTCTGGCTCCTGTACCTAGATACTTGACCCGTGGTCTCTGGCTCCTGTACCTAGATACTTGACCAGTGGTCTCTGGCTCCTGTATCTGGATACTTGACCCGTGGTCGCTGGCTTCTGTACCTAGATACTTGACCAGTGGTCTCTGGCACCTGTACCTAGATACTTGACCAGTGGTCTCTGGCTCCTGTACCTAGATACTTGTGGTCTCTGGCTCCTGTACCTAGATACTTGACCCGTGGTCTCTGGCTCCTGTACCTAGATACTTGACCCGTGTTCTCTGGCTTCTGTACCTAGATACTTGTGGTCTCTGGCTCCTGTACCTAGATACTTGACCCGTGGTCTCTAGCTCCTGTACCTAGATACTTGACAAGTTGTCTCTGGCTCCTGTACCTAGATACTTGACCCGTGGTCTCTGGCTTCTGTACCTAGATACTTGTGGTCTCTGGCTCCTGTACCTAGATACTTGACCCGTGGTCTCCGGCTCCTGTACCTAGATAATTGACCCGTGGTCTCTGGCTTCTGTACCTAGATACTTGACCCGTGTATTTTCACCATGATTTGGTCTCTGTCTCCTGTACCTAGATACTTGACCCGTGGCCTCTGGCTCCTGTAGATACTTGACCAGTGGTCTCTGGCTCCTGTACCTAGATACTTGACCCGTGTATTTTCGCCATGATTTGGTCTCTGGCTCCTGTACCTAGATACTTGACCCGTGGTCTCTGGCTCCTGTAGATACTTGACCCGTGGTCTCTGGCTCCTGTACCTAGATACTTGACCCGTGGTCTCTGGCTCCTGTACCTAGATACTTGACCCGTGTATTTTCACCATGATTTGGTCTCTGGCTCCTGTACCTAGATACTTGACCCGTGGTTTCTGGCTCCTGTAGATACTTGACCCGTGGTCTCTGGCTCCTGTACCTAGATACTTGACCCGTGGTCTCTGGCTCCTGTACCTAGATACTTGACCCGTGGTCTCTGGCTCCTGTTCCTAGATACTTGTCGTCTCTGGCTCCTGTACCTAGATACTTGACCCGTGGTCTCTGGCCCCTGTACCTAGATACTTGACCCGTGGTCTCTGGCTCCTGTACCTAGATACTTGACCCGTGGTCTCAGGCTCCTGTACCTACATACTTGACCAGGAGTCTCTGGCTCCTGTACCTAGATACTTGACCCGTGGTCTCTGGCTCCTGTACCTAGATACCCTACCCGTGGTCTCTGGCTCCTGTACCTAGATACTTGACCCGTGGTCTCTGGCTCCTGTACCTAGATACTTGACAAGTGGTCTCGGGCTCCTGTACCTAGATACTTTACCCGTGGTCTCTGGCTCCTGTACCTAGATACTTGACCCGTGGTCTCTGGCTCCTGTACCTAGATACTTGACCAGTGGTCTCTGGCTCCTGTACCTAGATACTTGACCCGTGGTCTCTGGCTCCTGTACCTAGATACTTGTGGTCTCTGGCTCCTGTACCTAGATACTTGACCCGTGGTCTCTGGCTCCTGTACCTAGATACTTGACCCGTGGTCTCTGGCTCCTGTACCTAGATACTTGACCAGTGGTCTCTGGCTCCTGTACCTAGATACTTGACCAGTGGTCTCTGGCTCCTGTATATAGATACTTGACCAGTGGTCTCTGGCTCCTGTACCTAGATACTTGACCCGTGGTCTTTGGCTCCTGTACCTAGATACTTGACACGTGGTCTTTGGCACCTGTAATTAGATACTTGACCCGTGGTCTCTGGCTCCTGTACCTAGATACTTGTGGTCTCTGGCCCCTGTACCTAGATACTTGACCCGTGGTCTCTGGCTCCTGTACCTAGATACTTGACCAGTAGTCTCTGGCTCCTGTACCTAGATATTTGACCCGTGGTCTCTGGCTCCTGTACCTAGATACTTGACCAGTTGTCTCTGGCTCCTGTACCTAGATACTTGACCCGTGGTCTCTGGCTCCTGTACCTAGATACTTGACCAGTGGTCTTTGGCTCCTGTACCTAGATACTTGACCCGTGATCTCTGGCTCCTGTTCATAGATACTTGACCCGTGTGTTTTCAACATGATTTGGTCTCTGGCTCCTGTACCTAGATACTTGACCCGTGGTCTCTGGCTCCTGTACCTAGATACTTGTGGTCTCTGGCTCCTGTACCTAGATACTTGTGGTCTCTGGCTCCTGTACCTAGATACTTGTGGTCTCTGGCTCTTGTACCTAGATACTTGTGGTCTCTGGCCCCTGTACCTAGATACTTGTGGTCTCTGGCTCCTGTACCTAGATACTTGTGGTCTCTGGCTTCTGTACCTAGATACTTGTGGTCTCTGGCACCTGTACCTAGATACTTGTGGTCTCTGGCTCCTGTACCTAGATACTTGTGGTCTCTGGCTCCTGTACCTAGATACTTGTGGTCTCTGGCTCCTGTACCTAGATACTTGTGGTCTCTGGCTCTTGTACCTAGATACTTGTGGTCTCTGGCCCCTGTACCTAGATACTTGTGGTCTCTGGCTCCTGTACCTAGATACTTGACCCGTGGTCTCTGGCTCCTGTACCTAGATACTTGACCCGTGGTCTCTGGCTCCTGTACCTAGATACTTGACCCGTGGTCTCTGGCCCCTGTACCTAGATACTTGACCCGTGGTCTCTGGCTCCTGTACCTAGATACTTGACCAGTGGTCTCTGGCTCCTGTACCTAGATACTTGTGGTCTCTGGCTCCTGTACCTAGATACTTGTGGTCTCTGGCTGCTGTACCTAGATACTGGCCCCGTGTGTTTTCACAATGGTTTGGTCTCTGCCCCCCCCCCTACTTAGATTCTTGACTTTGTTATTGTTATAAGAATGCTCAGTTTTTAAATAAACGGAATTGGGAAATCCTTCGATTTGGCATCAACCCCGGAAATGATGTTGCTGAATTTCATTATCAGTCTTTGCCCTTCACCCTTATCTCAGCTTGTGATACTACTAACCTAAAGTAATTTATTTAATTAAAATTTATAGGTCAAAATACAAATCAAATATAAATTCCTATTAATAGTAAATATATTTTTATCAAACAGTGTAAGGGTATAAACAAAGCCATGAGTATGTTTCATACATCCGCTTCATTAAATTGAAGTTTTTACATCGTAAAAATAAATATAAAATGAATTTTAAACCCATTAAAAGTTGTTTTTTTTTAAATTTTAATATGTTTTACTTTCTTTCTGTTTCTGCAGTGCTCAACGGGCGGAGAATGTTTACATTGAACATCGAAATGGTACGTATATATGCATGTATATATATATGGGGATCGGTATCTTGAAATAAATTGAGGAATCTTCAATTCGTATTTAGGCGGAATGAATATCTTCATGTTTATTTGATATGTAGTTAAACTGACATTTTGGCGCAGTCCCGTTAACCAGAGGCGTAGCGAGGGGGGGGGGGGGCGGACTGCACCGGGTGACACCATTTAGGGGGGGGGGGGTGACACCAAGGCAAAAAATAGCAAAATATATAGAGAAAAACTTGAGGGGGGGGGGGGTGCAAATCGAAAGTTTGAAAGTTTGTCCCCGGGAAGGGTCACTACGCCTCTGTGGGGGGGGGGGGGGGGTGACACCAGTAAGTGCTACGCCACTGCCGTTAACTATAGTTTTGTTATAATGTTTTATTAATTTGTTTTGTACATCTGTAGACGAGGAAGAATACAACACTTTGGATGACGCTGTAGACGCGATGGTGACCAACAACAACATCCGAGGGCACGACCACGACGCCAACGAGCCAAAACAATGTCGGTTAGACACTCTGCCTCCCCTACCCCCGAGACCACCAGATCAACAGTACATTGATTTTCGCCTGGTTGCCATTGATAAAAACAACGACCAGAAAAAAGAAGATTTGGTGGAACCTGATCCAAAGTCTCACGCAGAAAAACATGCGGAAATTCAAGACGAGAGCGATGTTAAAAAAAATCTAGGCGAGAGTTTGTGTACTGTTCCAACGGAAGCTGCTTATCAAAACTTACAAAACGCGGAAAATCAAAGTATGTGTAATAGTAAGAACGTAGACGACAACACAATGACTGCAAGCAGCGAAAAAACAGTCGAAGCTATGGTTCATTCTGTACCAAGAGATAAAAACACGGATAATATTGAGAACGTCTACGACGCAGCAGTCGCCAAAGATGACACGGAAGAAAACCACCAATACATGTCGATGAATCGTCTACAAGAGGAAAATATCAAACTCGACAGTGAATATGTGTCACCGGATAGCAATCCTATTTATTCCGAATTCCCTTCTGCGAACAAGACCGCGGATTACTACCAGTGGGAAGAGATAATCATATCCCCAGATCGTGGCGGTGCTGGGTGTGTTGGAGCCCACGCCCACCACAACCACAAACCAGACGTCGCAGAAGACAACAGTGGCGGTTATCTCATTCCAGATAATGTTGTGACAAGCCCTACTCTTTATCACAATGTGACACATGACACAGTAAATGAAAACACGGCGAACCAAATCCAACCGTATCTAACAGAAACTTTAAGTGCTGAAGACGAAGAGAATAACTATTTCATACCACTCCCAGATTTATCTTAACATATGTAATACTTAGATCTCTAAAAGTATCGCAAACATAAAAATGCGCTAAATGAAATCTGCTCACAGGAAAAGTGCGCAAACTGAAACATGTGAAAATAGAAACGATTTATACAAATACACTTTAATTTTGCCATACTCTGTAGAATAATGTTGTATTATTTTACAATGAACATTTGATCCTTCTTTGTCGATATCTATAAATGCTCGATTTCCATAAAAAGTTTGCGCATAGTTTCTGCGCAGTTTTTCGATCACCGTAATATATAAAAAGTGATGAATCAAAAACTGGTATAAACTAACGACAACCAGAATTATTTTCTTTAGATATCTGAGAGATAGAGGCCAATCTATATACACATGTGCTGAATTCTGTTTCTAAAACACTTAACAGTAAACATTTGTTATAACTACAGTACATTTGAAATCGCCAACTAAACACGAATATTCGCGCCATCCAGGCAAGGCCGGCAACTAAAGATGTCCTCTGAAATGTTTTTATTGCATTACAACACAGCTGGCTACAAATTAATCTAGCGTCAAAATTATCTATACTATTAGTCTTTTGCTATTTTTTTTTCTGTTTTTTTCGTATTGTCAAAGTATGATATAATTTTTTTTTACTTTTTACTGTTGCATTTTTTTTTGTGTTTTCGTCTATTGGGATCACATAAACAGGTAACCACTACTTTTTTTGCCAGATTCGAAAAGGGAACTTTACTTGTACATATTTTTTGGTAAAAAACTCAAAATAAATTTAAAAAAAAAACATTCAATACAGATTGTTTTTGTATTATAAATTGTACCATTCAATGAATAAATCAAACTATTGTGCAAATCATCAGTTTCAACTTTTGCACACGTTCTTCTTTCTATCAGTTTTATTAGGCATATTTCTTTTCAAAACGTATACGTTCATGTAAGTTGGTTAAAATAACTATTATCACATTTTTTTACAAAAGACGATTACATATTTTAATAATATTAATATTCTATTAATATTCTAAAATATTTAAAAAGCGTTTCCTGATCAAGTATCTATATTTTTAAAAACATTTTGGAAATGGGGACTTCAGTTAGCAAAAAACGCAGACAAAAGATAATGTATAGCAATACGTTTGAAAACAAATCGTGTAACAAACTTTAAGTAAAGCACATAACACTTATATAAACTCAAGCTACACACATACAATATATAATACATTCAAAGGGGAAGAAGTAAGAGGCCGATAAGAGGGGAAGTTGAAGGAAACAACAAGGGGAAGATAACGCATTTGTGCATTCGGGCAAGTGTCCAATCGGGCAACTGTCGCATTCGGGCAAGTGTCCATTCGGGTGTTTGTCGCATTCGGGCAAGTGTCCATTCGGGCGTTTGTCGCATTTGGGCAAGTGTCCATTCGGGCGTTTGTCGCATTCGGGCATGTTTCTATTCGGGCGTTTGTCGCATTCGGGCATGTTTCTATTCGGGCGTTTGTCGCATTCGGGCATGTTTCTATTCGGGAAAATGTCCGTCTCCCGGTCAAACAACACCAGGTCAAATCACCTCTAGTCAAAGCACATGTGGTCAAAGTACATGGGCTCAAAGCACATGGGGTCAAAGCACACTTAAACCATTGGAGTCATTAATAAACATTAGTATCCCGCCCCGCCTGTAATACTTTACTAAGGCAGGCACTGGTAACATTTATAAAAACCACTGAACAAAGACCACTTTATTAGCTAACACTCAAGCAAGCGACAGAAACCCATTGAGTCTGCGAATAAACTTCCGACCTGCATCAAAACAGTCTGGCTTGAAACAATGGAGATAAAACTCGGCGCTAAAGCTAGTAACAATGGGAGTTAATGGAGATTGGTGGAGCTAAAGAAAAATGAGCATCTAAATGAATTACGAGATAAACCGAAGGAATAAAAAGTGGAGCTTAAGTAGTTAATAAGAGGAGCTGAAAAAGATAAAAAAGGGAGATGAAGGATATAGAAAAAGCTAAACAAGATAAGTGGAGCTAAATAACATAACAAGAGGTTACAAAGGAGATAACAAGAATGGCTAAAGCAGGAACTAAGAGGGGCTAAGACAGTTGACAATAAGAGCTAAAGCAGGTGACAAGAGGAGCTAAAGCAGGTGACAAGAGGAGCTAAGAGGGGCTAAGACAGGTGACAATGAGAGCTAAAGCAGGTGACAAGAGGAGCTAACGCAGGAGACAGGAGGGGCTAATGCAGATGACAAAAGGAGCTAAAGCAGGTGACAAAAAGAGCTAAAGCAGGTGACAAGAGGAGCTAAAGCAGGTGACAAGAAGGACTAAAGCAGTTGGCATGAAGAGTTAATGCAAATAATAGAGGGAGCTAAATGAAATACTAAGTTGAGTTAAAGGAATAAGAGGAGCTAAATTAGATAAAAAAAAGAGGAGCTAAAAGAGATAATATAATAAAATAAATGAAACAAGAAGAGGAGCTGAAGGAGATAGCGAGGTGGCGACACTCATTCAGCCACTTAAGAAGTGTATTTAGGGCTGGCTGGGGGTCGTGTTAATTGGGGTCATGGTCAAGGTCATGTTGAGTATCATAGCGAGGCGTAATTGGGACAGTTAAATCAAACGGTGGAAAATGTATGATGTCTCTGTGCTGGACTAACGGCTAAATCGATGCCGGTTGGTGAAGAGAGTAAATGGTGGGTTAATCACCTTGATTGAGAGCCGGACAACCTCAATGAGAAAAATTTACAATTTTTTAATTAATAAAATTTAGTAATATTGCCTTGTATGCAAGAGAGGTAGAGAAGGAAAGAGACATAGATGTAAAGATAGAGAGAGGAATGGAAAGAGACAGATGTAAAGATATTGAGAGAAAGGGAAAGGGTATTTTTGGACTAGGTACTTGAAATTAATTGTGTATTGTCGTTAAACGTTAATAACAACAAACAAGGATGTAAAAAATAATGTCTAGTGTATTCGCTATCAACGTGGTGTGTGTCAAGTTTCAACGTCAACACGTCTTTCTGTCAAGATATTATTTATACTTGTCTGTTTATTTTTGCAAATAACGAACGACAAAAAAAAAAAAAGAACAAAACTACAACACAATTTAATAAAGACAGAGTTAGTTAAGTTAAACTGTAGAAGCACCTTTAATGCGGAATCATTATTACGTGTTGTGTATGCCTTTGCAAAACTCAAGAAAGTAGATTTCCCCAGCTATCAAGCATCATATACCGAGGAATTGAACTCGGGACTTTTCGGTTCAGCAACCGTGGGCTTAGCCGACCAGACCAGCGCAACATCCGAAGGCTCTCTGGTCCAACTGCATACATTTTCTTGGCCTCTACCAGAGGTGTCAGCAGAGGTTGGAAGCCAAGCGACCGTGTCTATCTATGGTATAGGTGATAAAAATAACTTTATGCATTACGTGCTACGTTTAAATGAACAATGGATCAACTTCGGCTCAATTGGTCAGAATTTTTTTTTCTATTGTAGCAGAACGCGTCATCCACCATTCAGTTTGTTGCTAATATCGCCATTACAATACACACAGGGGATGATTATGGGAGTTATTTCTTTGGGGCTATTAAAGACAAAAGAGTTATTCTTTCTTTGAATATTTATGTTGCACCTAAGATCAAACCTGACTAAAGTCGCATTTGTTCTTTATTTCAGGCGACTCTGAGGGGAGCTCATCCCGCCTTCCCACCACCCACCCTAAAGAACGTCCCCTTCAACGAAATACAAATTAAATAGAATATATATACTTTTACCTGGGTCCGATCCCTCCCAGATAATTTAGTCTACCCCCACCCCCGAATATTTCAAATATCCCTGAATCGCCCGGAGCGACCACCCTGCACATCCCCCACCCCTAGCTAAGCCTCTTTCTGCTATCAATTAGAATTCTTAATTTATTTCACATAGCTAGTTTTTCTATTTATGAATAAATATTTTTTTCTCTTAATTTTTCATCTCTCTCTCTCTCTCCCTCTCTCTCTCTCTCTCTCTCTCTCTCTCTCTATCTACTTCCTCCTTTTTTTCTCTCTCTCTCTATTACAGCCTACTTGAATTAATTTGAATTAATTATTTTGTAGCTGCCACTAGTTTTAAACAAACAAGAAACCAATTATTTCCTCTCGTACATTGAATATAACTCTAAATATCTTTGTGTAAATAACGAGTTGTGAGACTGAACTATTTGCGCTAGTGATACTAATAGCCAGACAGCAATACCGAATACTGCACAACCAGAAACAAAAATACTCACATAGTTGTGATAATATTTAATATTCTTTAATACAGATAAATAAAGTGTATTTTGAACACAGAAGTAAATGTATTCTCAATTTTAAGTAAATGGCTAATGTATTTTTTTAAAGCAATAAATAAAACTAAAAACTGATGTTTTATATGTATTCTAAAAGACATATTTTAATGAAAAAAAACTAACCGGACTTAACAACAAAGTGAAAAGGCCAAAATTTAAAAAAAAAAATCATATAGCCTACAATATTATTAAAATAAATGAGGTTATAAGAACCTAATGTTTGGTTTTATTTGAACTTTACTAAACAGTTTGTGTTTGATGGTTTTAGTATTTTTAGCAACTTATCAAAAAGTTTCAAACGCCATGCTTTTCTTTAGTTATTTAAATAGTGGTAACTTATCTTATATTTTAAGAAAATCATTTATGTTCTCATTTTTTTTTCTCGTTGATGTTGAATAAATAAATAAATATTTCGTGTGCACATTTTTTCGGCTTAGCCCGAAAAATCAAGCATTCTTTAGACCACGTTTGTAAAAATAATATTAAAGGAGCTGAAGTTTGTATGTTCTTGATAACTCATTGGAATGCAAGGGAAATTACCAGTTAAATGTTTAGCAGAATCATAACAAAGTAGGTTCCCTTTATTAAACCATCTGAAATAATTGAGCGAGTTCTTTAACTAGACTATGCACCATTATCAAAAACAAAATACGCAGTGCATTTAATTATCAAATTTTAACTTTCACACACACCGACAATTGCATAACATGAAACGTGTAAAATGTTTTTCAATATGTATTATGAATTAAAGAAAATAATTATCTTAAAAAAATAGCAATATCATCAATAAATGCAGAACAAATAAATAAGTAAACATTGTTAGTTGTGGGAAATTGTTATTTTTCTACACTTTTTTTTAACTAACGATGTAGGCCTATGTGTTGTTGGGTGTTATTTATTTCTTGTAAGTAATATTGAAACAAAAAAATCTTCTACGATTTGGTGTTAATTATTTATTGTTTCAATTGTTAGCGTTTCAATTCTTAGTCTACATACTGAAATAAACAGCAATACTATTCGACGATTTATTTATGTTGATTGATTGATTTTTCATTAAAGAATAGCATTGTAATTATACTAAAACAAATATAGATTTATGTATTATATAGTGCAATATTTTTTAAAGTTATTAAAGTTAAACAAAATCATGCTATTTTTATTTATGAATCAAATATTACGCTGAATACTTGATAGGCTACACGACATCGCCATGAAATACTACATGACAACTATTAACACTGTCAGATAAATTCAAATCATCTCCTTGACCTTGCTAAAGATTTCCTGTATATGTTTGTGATCCGTCCCAATCAAAATATCCATAAGACAAGGGCAGACAATCCATATTGTTGTCGATAGGAGTAATATAATCATGGTCATCTTCTGTGTGCCTAATCAATTCGTTACTTGCGGAACGTCTTTGATCAGCAATGTCGTCCTTTAGAACCTGCGATCCGTCCAAATCCAGGTAACCAAAACATGTAGGAGGGTTACATTTGGCAGGAGGTATTGAAG